ATCGCTATTTTGATGTGTTCAAATGCGTTTTGTTGTGTGTCTCTATTCTGTCCGCATAGTTGTTGACGAACTGGCCATACCTATTACATACCCCTAAAAATCTGCGCAAGTCCCTAACATGGCACGTATGTTTAGCAATAGCTAAATAAGTTAATGACGGACAAAAAATAATAAAACACACAGTAAAATATAATTGTTTCTCGCAAGGCTACAGTGACAGGATCCTCGATTTTCATTAAAATTCTAGAAAAACAAAATACACAAGAACAAAATCTTACACATTTTTTCGGTTAAGGCCAAAATAATTAATTTCAAAAAAAAAATTAGGGGCAATTGATTTTTAACCACCCCCCTGAAAGTGCCACTATAATTTACAATAACTTTTTAAAAAATTTTTTAAGTAAGTTCATCGATTTATTAAAATTTATTATCTGAATTTTTCGAATTCACACAAAAAACGAACTTTTTTTTTTAACTATGATATCATTTTCACCACAAAGACAAATCAGGACTGAACATTTTTTTTTTTAATTAAATCATGTTTCATTATGATAGCGCTTAGTTTGTTTATATAAAAACTAGCTAGCCGTATGACTGCGGTATATTAATATATATATTATTATTTTAATTTAAAAAAACTAAAAAATATTAAACTCAAAGCCACGAAAAATTAATGAAAAGTCGCGGATACGTATTTCGGAAACGATTTTTCCATTATCAACGTTAAACACATACTGACACCCGACTAGAAAAAACTCCCTTATATACCCTTAGCGACCTTATCACCCAGTGACGTCATCAATAAGTAATATTATCACATTTTGCCAGTTTACACAAGTTTAATTATGAATTTTTCAGTGGGCCAAAATCCCAATTAATTAAATTGTTTTTATTTTTAAACATTTCTATTGCTTCTCTGATATTAAGTTCTTTGTAATTATTTACGTTTTTAATTAGTTTTATGGTTTTAATAGAGTGATTATGTGTCAATAAATGNTTAGTTTTATGGTTTTAATGGAGTGATTATGTGTCAATAGTGGTGAGTGTACTAGCTGCCCTCCTTTCTTTTTTCCACTTTTGTGTTCTGACTAATTTTGAAATTATGTTTTCATTATAACCATTAAATTTAGCTATTTCTTTTATAACCACCATTCTTTATCAAAATCTATTTTATTCATCGGAATATTAATTAATCTGTAAACCATACTATTAAAAGCTGACAATTTGTGTTGCCAGGTGTGGTTCGATGTGTTCGGAATGTATCTGAACGTGTGTGTGTTTTTCCGATAAATTTCAAAATTTAGTTCCCCCTCTGTTCTTTTAACTAATAANTAATTTTAAAATTTAGTTCCCCCTCTTTTCTGTTAACTAATAAATCCAAAAAAGGCAATTTTCCCTCTACTTCTTGTTCATATGTGAATTTAATAGATGGGTAAAAAGAATTTAAATGTTGTATGAAAACCTCCATATTAAAATCTTTATTTATAACTGCAAAAATATAATGTACATACCTAACCCAAATTTTTGGAAAATCACCATAAGTGTATTTTAAATTTGTATCAAACCTACTCATGAAAAGTTCTGCTAAAAATGGTGATAGTGGATTTTCCATTGCTGAGCCCTCAGTTTGCTCATAAAATTTATTTTGAAACTGAAAAACATTTTGAGTCATACATAACTTTGTTAATTAATAAGCTCATTTATTTTATCCTGTTCAATATTTTGTTCCTTTAGCCAGTCTTTAAGAAAATCAATTGTTATATTTATTGGAATATTCGGAAATAAGGCTACTACGTCAAAAGAAATTAATCTGTCATTATTTTGAATGGTATGACCAGATAATTGTTTAACTAAGTCATTATTATTTTTAACTGAAAAGCTATCGAATTTTTTAAAAGATGAAAATATACTTACTAGGTGTTTGGCCAAATTGTAAGTCGGAGCATTAATATTCGACACAATAGGTCTCATAGTACTTCCTGGTTTATGTATTTTTGGCAAAGCATATAGTTTAGGTATTTGAGGGTTTGAAATTTTAATAAAAAACCTGAACTTTTCTTCGATTATTAATTTTAATCTAATTATGACGATTATATAAATATAACAATTGATTTTCTTATATTGTTTAAATTTTATATAGAAACAAAGAAAATGAGTGACATTTTATAAAATAAATTTATTTTTAAATAAATAAATAGCATTCCAAACAATTATTATATTATGTGAAATATACATTATTTAATATTCATAAAGTTAAGATTTGTAAAACTAGAAAAAATTAAATTTTTGAATAATAATTCACCGAAATAAAATACAGACAAGATACTCCGAAATTTTTCAAAAGTATAGGTAAACGGACTTATATATATATTGAAAACCATAAAAAAATACACGAGTTTTTAGTATTCACAATTCCTTGTTTTAATTAAACCCAAAATCCTTGCAAAACTTCTGAACACCTTCTTTAACTTTTTCTTTCATGTCAACATGATTCGGGTCAGGATAATACTTATTTTCATGATTAGAAAGATTTTTAAATTGGTCAATGTACTTCTCGACGAATGGTGCATAATCAACATTATTGATTGGATCTTGTTCGACTACGATATCGTAATGATATTTTGAAAACTCTTTAAGTTTGTTTAAGACATCTTCTACATAATTTGAGCTTTTATTTTTTAACTTCTCTTGATTGTTATCAAGTAAGAATTTATTTATTTCTTTGTATTTATTTATGTTTTCATGCAGTAAATTATGAACAGAGCTTTGAGAATCTAAATAATCCAGCGCTTTAATCATACATTGTAGTAAAGGTTCAAATACATTTATTAAGTTTGCTAACTTTTTGAATTCAGTTAATAGAAACTCAACATTATAATTATATTTTTCAATACATTCAAAGGAAATACAATAGTAAAATTGGTAGATTTCAATTTGTAATGTTCCATAGAGTTTACTTAGTACATTTGCGACGTTAAATTTCCTATCATTTTCATTCAAATCATAAAATATACGATTAATAATATCTTGTTCATTCGTGTTATCAAGTATTTCCCTTAATTCTGACCATCCGGGGTTATTTTGTGTATTTAGTATATTCGTTGTCTTCTTTGGCAAGTGTTTGTCTTTCTTTATACCACAGAAATGCAACAAACTACAACAAAGATGTATTTGTGTGATGACAGATATCTGTCGAATTAAATACATTCTCAATTACTTGGCTGTAAATCTAATGTACAAAATTTTTTAATAGTTTCAAGCTTTGAAAGTATAATGTCTGAAAATTTTTACCTGTACAAATATATATACATAGACAAATGTATAAACAAAAAAATCGTTGTTTCACATTAAAAACATTATGAAAAACATATTAGTAATTTAAAATGTATTTTTAATATAATGTACATTTTTATTGACAAATCATAGATAATATAGAAAATGGATTATCATTTCTCGATTATTGTTTTTCTCAAATCCTAATTTTTTAAATTTGCAAATATAAATATACTTTAGAATGAACACGATGAATAATATCTTTTTCACTTGTGTTATCAAGTATTTCCCATAATTTTGTCCATTCGGGGTAATTTCTTATATTTAGTACATTTGTTGTCTTGTTTTTTAAGTTTTTGTCAGAGAATCGCAAGTAACTACAACAAAGATGTATTTGTGTGATGACAAGTAACAGCCGAATTAAATACATTTTTAATAATTAGAAATTAGATATTATGTATAAAACATTTTAATAGTTTTAAGCTTTGAAATTATAATGTCTAAAGATTTTTACCAGTATATATACATAGACAAATATATAAACACAAAAATCGTTTCATGTGTTTACATTTAGAACATGATTACAAAACAATATTAAAAATTTTAAATATATTTTGAATATAATATACATTTGTCTAACAAATCATTAATAGTATAGTAAATGTTTCATAATTTCTTGATTATTGTTTTTCTCGAAAACTATTTTTATAAATTTGTAAAAAATAATTTAACTTATAATTACAATTATCGATAAAAAAATATTATTTTTATAAAGAAAAAAAAAACTATTTATCTCGGGAACGAGTGTAAATAATAAAAATATATAAAATGATAGGTAAATATATAAGGTATTTATAAAAAAAAAATTATATTGATTCGATCATTTTTAAAAGAGTTATGGCAATTTTAAGTAAAAAAAATTCAAAAAATATTGAAAATTAACGATTTTTAAATTTGTAATTTTTTGGGGGATTTCCCCCATTTATGGGGAACGAGCGAATTTTTTTCAATTTTTGAGGGTAATGTCTTCGACTAGATACGATTTGTGATCTTTTGACATATTGTTCATCAAAATCGATCCAGCGAGAGCTGAGATTGAGCGTTCACAGACACAAAAAAAAAAATANCGATTATATATAAAAAAAGTATAGATGAACGCACTTATATATATTATATATAATTTATATATTATTAAACATAAAAAGATACAAGCATTTTTTTATTATCAATTCCTAGTTTTAATTAAACCCAAAATCCTTGCAAAACATCTGAACACCTTCTTCAATCTTTTTTTTCATGCCAACATGGTTCGGGTCAGGATAATACTGGTTTTCATGATTAGAAAGATTTTTAAATTGATTAATATACTTCTCGACGAATGGTGTATAATCAAAATTATTTTTGATTTGACCTGACCCCGCTACGACATTATAATGATACTGATTAACCTCTTTAAGTTTGTTTAAGACTTCTTCTACATAATATGAGTTTTTATTTTTTAACTTTTGAAGATTCTTATCAAGTAAAAATGTATTAATTTCTTTGTAGTAATATTTGCTTTTACACAGTACATTATGAACATCGCTATATCGTTCTAAATAATCCAACGCTTTAATCATACATTGTAGTAAAGGTTCAAATACATTTATTATGTTTCCTAACTTTTTGAATTCAGTTAATAGAAACTCAACATTATAATTTTTTTCTTCAATACATTCAGAGGAAATACAATGATAAAATTGATATATTTCAATTTGTAATGTTCCATAAAGATTATTTAGTATGTTTGCGGCCTTGCATTTCTTATCATTTTCATCCAAATCATTAAATGCTTGAAGTAGAATTTCTTTTTCATTTGTATCATGAAGAGTTTCTTTTAATTTTGCCCATCCACGGTTATTTAGTATATTTGTTATTTTTTTTTTTTGACCACAAAAACGCAACAGACTATGACAAACATATATTTGTACGACGGCAAATTTCAATTGAATTAAATTCATTCTCAAATTTATCGAAAGCAAATCAAATTTACAAAACTATATTATAGTTATGATTGAAAGTATAATGTCAGTAAATTTTTATCAATAGACAATTATACCAATATATATACAAAAAAATCGTTTCATATGTTTCCATTAATAGAATATGATTACAAAACAATATTACCAATTTAAAATGTTCATTTGTAAAACAAATGATTAATAATATAGTAAATGTTCCATAATTTATCAATTATTGTTTTTCTCAATTATTTTTATAAATTTGTAAAAAATAATTTATCTTTTAATTGCAATTATTGAAAAAAGAATATTATTTTTAAAAACAAAAAAAAAACTATCGCGTCAAGGAGTGGCGATGCGTGGGTTGGTTGTGTGATAACTATCACACATAATAAATTAGGATAAAAATATTCTACTGTGCTGTAACAAAAATTGAATTCTTAAAAAATATATGTTACCTTAACTATAATATCAAATGCATTTTCTAAAACAATGTTTACCAGAAACAATTGTATGAGAATAATCAAACCTATATCTAATAATTGAATTGAGGACAAGCATAATAGACATACAATAATATAAAGGATATGTAGTAAAAAGAATAAAAAAAAAATAAGAATAAAAAAAAAACCAACTAACCTTAGCATCTTTAATTCAATAGCCGGCCGCTGATAAATGGCCTAACTGGCAAATAGAGCGGAGGTGCTGCCAACCCAAAGCATTCAAGTCGCCAAACAAGTACGATTTGAATTTAGCATTCAGATCGAAAACATAAGTTTTAATTTAATATTTATTTAAAATTGTCGAGATTTCCGAAATGTTTTCAAAAGTTAAGTTTTTATACGCGTGTTTCAAGTTTTGAATAACCTCTGTATAAGGGAAAACGGCCCGATTTTTAAAAAAAAGGTATGTCGGATTAAAGAGATAAAATGAAAAATATATTTCAAAATTTATTTGATCAGTACTACTTGTCAGCGGTGGCTCGTGGGTGCTGGTGATGGGAGTGCGACTTTAAATATAATACCGTTAGTTAGAGGTATGAAAAAATGTCAAATTAAATATAATAAAATAAAACACAATATACATATTATTATTTTGAAGGTCACAGTAGAAAATAGAAATGAGAATAATAATAATAATAGTGATTATACTAATATTGTAAACGATAACGAAGAGCGTACACGTATTAACTGTAAACATAAATTACCCTTAATAATAATATACTAATATTTTACTGAATGGACGACGCTGCCGGTCGTCCAAAACCCGTAGACCCTTAAGATTGCAGATAAACCGTCCCCGCACGCACACGATTGGGGGGGGGCCTTGTTCATAATATATGTTTCAAAATAGTGTTCCGACGACGCTGTTTGTCGTCCAAACACTGTCGCATGCGCACTCGCATATACTGAGCCAAACAACTCTAAATGTATTATAACTAGTGATTATCGAATAACTCTATTCGAATTGTTTTTATACAACCGAATAGTGTGTTTTTAGCATAAACTATCGAATAGTTTTTAAAAATATTCAAATGGGCTAGCGAATGGTTTCAAAAAATATTCGATTAATTCTATCTAAAATTTTTATTAAGTACACTTAATTATAATAAGAAGATAATTAGTGAATACTTAAAATAAATTATTATATAATTAATAATAGTAAAAAGTACCATTTTATTTATTTTTAGTTTGTGAGTCGTTGGTAAGAACTGATAAATATGGGTCGAAAATTAAAAAGCAGTTCTTTTTTCCGATGATATATTTTCAATTTTATCGGTTGGGTTTGTTCTATGCACAACAGAAGTATTTGTAAATACTAAAGTCTTATTTTACACTTAATACCTTGTATACTGTTCTTAGTCTAGTATTATCTGCTTTTTTATCTTGCAAAGGCATAACACCGATAAAGAAGACAGCGCGTTTTAAATTTTTACGTTTGTAAATTGTGTTTATACCACCGAATATTTTATTTTTATCATAAACTATCAAATATTTTAAAAACTATTCAAATGGAGGTACCGAATAGTTTTAAAAAATATTCGAATAGACTATCGAATATTTTTACTATTCGAATAGTTTTTAAATGACTATCGAATAGTTCGATAGTTACTATTCGATATTTCCCATCACTAATTATAACTATTTTACTATTTAAAAATTTGCATTTTTAATAAAAATGTAGAATTAAGAATATACAATTAATTTTAGTAGGGGTTGCTATCGTCTCGTCGTCCAAGCCACGAGTCGCCACTGCTATTTGTTTAAAATTTATAATAATCATCAACATTTGAATTACTCTAAAAAATAACTAAAAATTACTCTCTAATAATGACAAATTTTCCTGTAAATTAGACTTATTAGTTAGGCGTTCATAAATGCAATGTTACAATAGTCAAGAATGTTAGAGTTATACAATTATTTTATACTTTATGTACTGTTTTAAAATCATGGAACATATTTTTTTTTTGTATTAATGAAGCATATAAATAATAAACATAAAACAAAATAATTGATACAATTATATTTCGAGTACGTACAAATAATTATTACATTATATACAGTAGTTGGATTTATAGGTTATATTTTTAAGTACAGTCGAAAGTTGTTTGTGCAGTTGGGCAATTTTTTTGCGAAGCGAATAACAAATTTTTCGGTATAATAAAATTACTAAAATTATAAATAAAGCAAGCTACAAAAATACTACTAGAAATATTAATATTTCAATCGACTTTTTTTCTATGATGTTATCGTAATAAGTTATTCAAATTTTAAACATCTTTGATATTACATTCTGAAATGTCTCTGGTTAGACCTGGTAAAAATTTTTAGGTTTTAAATCGAAAAACATTGGTAGCAATTAGCTTTCATTGATCAAAATTTTAAACGCTCACATTATGCTAAGAAAAATATTTTTATCTTAATTATAAGAATTACAATAATTTATCAATAAAAAAATTTGAAAATTGGATATTATTGAGTAATTTTCCAGTATTGGCTAATTTTTAATATTCTATTATATAATAAGATTTTTTTTTACTAAATAATATTCATCTAAAAATACAATAATTGGTAAATCATTTTATTATAACATGAATTTTGGGTGGAAGGAGTCTCTTAGATACTCATACCACTGAGGTAAATAATTGGTGAGAATTTTTTTTCTAAATTATTACTGTTGTCTAATATACCACAGTATGACGTAATAAAGCGCATTCATATTTTTAGTTATTTCTGCAAGTTCTATCATAGTACCATATATTATAAAAAACAAAAATTTAGTAATTGTTAAATATATATACAAATAATATTTGTCAAATTATTTCTATTATGATCGTAAATAATGTATTATAATTTAATACATACAAATATGGGGGTCGCGGCACAGCGGTGACCTGGCATAGTTGGATCAAGCATAATGATATCTGATAGTAATTAAAATCACTATAAAAAAAAACGCTTCGATGCAAATCTTTAGACAGTGTTTAATTTTAAAAAATTGGTGGATTATTCCAAAGGCTACATGATCTGCTATTTTTTTATTAATATCCTGAATGAAAAAAGGATTATTAAAAAATAATATTTTTCATAAAAAAATTGTGTTGATCCATACACTTTTCAATAAGTTATAGCATTATAAAGTTAAAAATGAAAAAAATAAAATCAAGAATTTTTACACGAAAATAACATTTGGTAGCCATTATCACCACGAAGACAAGTCCAGAGGTCAAATTTTTTTTTTTTATAAAGTATATTACAATATCTTTAATTTAAGATATATATAAAAGTGTCAGACTTTCCAGAACATTTTCAAAAGTCAAGTTGAAAAAGTAAATTTTTTTTGAAAAGTTGTAATTTTAAATTCCTCCCTGTTGGCAGATTAAGGGTTAAATTTATGAAAAAAATATACCAAATGATAGGTAAAGACATCAAACATCTATAAAAAAAAAATTTAAAGTGATATGTTCATTTTTGAAAAAGTTATAGCAGTTTTTAGTAAAAAAAATTAAATAAATTTCGAAAATTAGCGATTTTTAAATTTGTAATTTTTTTGGAAGATTCCTCCATTTACGGGTAACGAGGGAATTTTTTGCAGGTAATGTCTTCGACTAGATACGATTTGTGATCTTTTGATGTATCGTTAAAAGAAATCGGTTCGGTGAGAGATGAGAAAAAGTGGTAACAGACACAAAAAAAAAAATTAAAAAATAATTTAAAATTAATACTGCTTTTGATTATTAATATGTTAAAAATAAAAAAACGACATATTTAACCTATTTTTTTAATCGTTTAAAGTTGATTTTTGTGAATGTTTATAATAAAAAAAAAATTTATTTTACAATAACTTTTAGCTCAATTGCAAGTTTAAAATTGACATCATTAAATAGAAAATTCTACATGAATTAAAAATATTGTTTTATTAAGATTAATATGCAGTCAGGAAATTTTATAATTACTATTTATAATAAATTTATCAGAGTAGCTTAATATTTTTTTGCATTTGTATCGTAATAGATAACTTAAATAGAAATAATAGTAATCATTTCCCAGTAACTTTTGGTGTTTAAAAAGATTCTACAATTGAAATATGAACTGAATTAATTTTAATGATTTACTTTAACTAAAATAACCAATAAAACATCGAAACTAAAAAAAAACGCATCATAGTAAAACCAATACCATCTCAGCTTTGCATGGAAGCTAAAATTAAAATACAGTAGTTTAAATTTTTGAATTAAAATTCTTAGGTTTATTAAATAGCTTAATAATTATTTGATATAAAGAGTTTTTCATTAAGGATAAGAATCATTGTTTTGGAAACTATTGAAATTTTTAATTTTTGTATAGTAAAATAGTGTTTTGTTCAAAATATTTTACAATAATATGTAGTAAAAAATTTTTTTTTGCCTTTAGGGATAAATATAATCATACAGTAAACTTATCATTAATAATTCATGTTAATAAACGTATACGTGTACGTATATTCAATACAAGTTTACTATCTTTCTTAATAATTACCATAAAAATAATTTATTGCATATTGAAACAGATTTTGTTATTT